GACACATCCAAAGGCGTCTGCATTTGAACCGCACCTATCGGTTGCTGCGAGGGCAGCTCTGAGCACCTTACGACCTCCACGGTCGCCGCTGCCGGTGCTGGCGCCGGCGGCGCTGGTGGTGCCGGCAACGTCGACTCTCCATCATGCTCCGTCCACGGCAGCAAACGGGAGGCGTGGAGGACCGGATGAAGGCGGCAAAGCGAGGGGGGAAACTCGAGGCGGTAGGCGGCGGGCGACACGACGCCGACGACGGTGAAGGGCCCCAGAAAGCCCCCGGGTCGAAGCCGTGTGGTCGGCTGGTCGGGTATGCAAAGCCCCGTCGTGGAAATCCGTACCTTGTCGCCCACAGAGAAGCGGGGGTCTGGGCTGTGCAGCTCGACCTGGCCGCTACAACTACTGCTACTACTACTACTACTACTACCACTGCTGCTGTTGTTGCTGTTGCTGCTACTGCTGCCGACGCTGCTGTAGGTCCTCTCCCGCATCATACCGCCAACGCTGCTGCTGTTACCGAGGATGCTGCTACTGCTGCCGCTGCCGTTACTGCTGATAACCCTCTCCCTGAGGCTGCCGACACTGCCACTGGCGCTCATTGCCCTGATCTCCCTGAAGAGGCTATGGCTGTTGCTACTGCCGCTGCTGGGAACGGGACTACTGCTTCCGCTTTTGCTAGGGACGACATTGTACCTCGCTCGAGCCGCCTGGAGCTCCTGTTGGGCTCTCAAATGGATCTCCCGAATCTGAAGCTGCTGAGATGCGGCGTTGGCGGAGGCGAACAAGGGCGGTGACGGCACCGCAGCTGCCGTCGCCACCGCTGCTGCCGCTGTCGCCCTCGTCGCCAATGACATCTCCTTGGAACCACAGGGACTGCCGGGAGCCGAGGCGGGCAGCATCCCCTGGCCCTGGTACCGGATGATAAAGGGTGTGGCGCCGCCGGCCGTGACGGAGTACTGCGCGCCGTTGTAAGCGGCCTCTGCCAAGGGGAGGAAAGTGACCCACGTGTCGGGTAGCTGGTGCACGTGGTTGCGAATTAACTGCTCCAAGATCCGGCGGTTTGCAGCTGCCGCCATGGGCAGGAGGCTAGAGTGACTAGTGCTGACGCTGGTGCTGGTGCTGCTGGCGCCGGCATCAGCGCTAACGCTGGGCAGGGACGAGGCAGGGACGTGGAGCAGCAAGCAAAGCCTGCTCCAAAACTCCCTAGCGCGGTCGTCGGGCAACGGTTCAGGGTCGCGGTCCCAGAGGAGGGACTTGGGTGGCCCTGATCGTCCCTGCAAGTGGTTGGTGAATAGCGCCGCGACCTCGCATGCGGAAGGTGATTCGGGGGCGGGCACGAAGCGGGCTTGCCGGCTGAGGCGGTCCAGGAAGACAACCACCGAGCAGGCGCGCTGGCCTTCGGGGCTGGTGCAGGGCGGCAGGTCGGTAATGAATCCAATTGATACGTAACTCCAGCTGGGATTCGGTGCTGCGGTTGAGTGGGGTCCCCGGCAAGCCGCAGTCTCCGATGCCATTGGTTTGGCGAGGAGCCTCGACTTGAAAAGTGCTTCTGCGCTATTTGCCATAATGATTTGCAAAGTTAAGCGCTTAAGAGTGATCTGGATTCAGGAGGAGAAGGGAGAAGTTTAAGAGGTGGATGAAGGTTATGGTTATGCGGACCCTAGCTGACAAGTCTGCAGCAGGTCCTGGTGAATTGCCTCTTTTCCAAGGACAGCAAACATTTGCCCATGTTAATTTTAACGGTTTAACAGTGAGTGCTGAACTTAGCTAAACCGCTAGGACGCAAATTGTGTACGTAAGGGCGGGCCACCGGATCTTCCTATCCGCTGCAGCTTTAACGCTTTGCGTATGAAATTTATTCATGAAACGAATGAAAGAATTTGAAGTGTGCTTAACCTTGTTGGCTAAGTGTTGTTAAACCTCGGTACGTAAGGCGTCTGCTAGCTTGGTGGGATGCTCGTCCTCTTGGACAGTTATATATCCCCATGCCGTCACTCCTACAGAATTTTTACGATAAACCTTTGGGCCAGATTGAAATCACCAGTTATGCCACGAAGGTAGCGTCCATGTGGTAGACGAGGTAGGTCTTTGCAGGATCATACAGCACGACTTTTGAATGGTTATTTTTTTCCAAGCGAATTGTTCATATGCCACATGCTGCAGCACCTGGAATCCATCCCGCAAATCCTATCGGTTGCCTGCTGCGCTGGTGGGCGATGGCTCCCTCCAGTATAGAATCAGGAGCAGCAGGGCTAGAAACTGACTCCAAAGAAACTCATGCTACTGAAGCAAAAAATATTTTGCCCCCGCATAGCTTGAAGCTGCTTTAGCAATTGCCGCTAGCGCGACCTGTCCTTCATAGTCAGTACCAGTACAGTCATCTGGCGCCATCGAATGCTTCGCATTCCTAGCTTCGTGTCCCCAAAACTCTTAATGAGGGACACATCTGCGTTAACTTGGACACCCACCTATGCCTTTCGTGACGCGTTATGACACGGCTTTCTGCTCGTACCTATCCTGGTTTTTCAAGGGTTGCCACGTGTGCATATACGCGCTAAACAATCAATGAGGATGGTTACGGCGGCACACCCTTGAGCAAGCTCAACCATGCACCTCTTGAACTGATTTGGCTGCCTGTAAGGCAAAAAACGCACATGCAAGCAGCTAGGCTAGCGCCGCAATCTGCAGCAGAACTCGTACCCTTTTGCAAATCCGCAAACAGGTCGCAAACGGACAATTGTTCATTCGGTGCGTCGTGAACTCCACCTCGTCGAAGGATTCATTGCCTGTATCCAAGAGGCCACATCATAGTCACCGCCAATGCCAGAGGAGGAAAGCTCCCTGGCATTCCTCCTGGCATGCCTTTCTTTGGAAGCCTTTCTTTGGCGGTGGGCGGTGGGTGATGCAGACGCCGCCAGCCAACCAGCTTGAACTGCTACGCTGTAGGGATGGGTGTTGGACGTGTGAGGGCCTCATGGAGGACACAGCGCATCAAAGCGGTAATGCGCTTGAGAGGTTGATGACGGGTCGATGACAGGTCCAGGGGAACAGGTCCGAAGGTATGCAGCACTCATAGAAGCTCCTGACGCAAGCGCCCAGCCGTGTGGCGACGTGGTGCAAGGCACCAGTCAAACAATACGCCGAAAGGAAGCGAAAATACGAAGAATAAGGAAAGGACAGTATTGAGGTGATTGCTACCGGAAAGCTGCACGGTTGGCGGCAGCGGTGTTCCCGCTTTTGGTAACACACGTACGTGGAGCTGCGCTGGGCGCAGTATGAGGCGCAGCGCCGCCGGCGCCGGCACCGTCCAGTTTTATACCCCCCCCCTCATTGCGGGGCTGAACCCCGCCACAGTACTCCGCCACCTCTTCCTGCCTCTGTCATCCTAAGAGGATACCTCAGCCCGGCCCCATAGCTCCTCGCTGTAACCTTCCACAGAGGACAGACCGTTGTTGAGGACAAAGCGTTCGTTGCCCAGCCCCTGCCTTCCCGCGCCTTCCCTCGCATCGCGTACACTCCACATGCCCCTGGTAGGCCAACTAGCCACACGCGTCACTCTCTCGGCACAAATACATCAAAACAATGTCGGACGCCGGAATTACTGTCTCTCGGTTTCTCATACATTTAACCTTCTTAAGTTGCTTCTCTTAAATCCACAACCGCTTCAGAGTGCACCACCCGCATCACCATTCACAACCGCACCAACTTTCAGTGCCCAATGAAGCAGGTACTCGAAAGGACCGGCGACCTGCACGCCTCACGGTGCCTTTAATCAAGTGGGTGCTCACGAGTTTTGGATGCCGTCCTTTCATCACAAAATGGCGGGAAGCTGCATGTGGTGCCAAGGCCGAACTTCGGAAGCGAATAAGCACATGCGCACATGGGCGCCTCCCAACGGGACCCTCAGCTGACAACGGGGCCCGCAAGGTCCGCACCAGCCTGGTTAGCTTTTACGGCGCGGCAATAGACACCAAAAATAGCACTTGGAAGCCAGGGAGCCACGCCCTCGCTTTTCTGGTGTTAACAGACGAAACGGGCTTGGGGTCGGCAGAACCCCCACCCGTTTCATTCATCGTCGCGCAGCCACACAGACCCATAACACACACCTCGGCACGGAGCGGTCACAAGAGTGCCGCCACGCAGTCAGCCCGTTGCCATACCAAGTATAAACACCTCCGGGCTGCTGGTACCAGCCAGCCGCAACTCGCCATGCAGAGCCGCCTGACCGTCCGCCTGACCGGGTGGCTATGTACGCGTGTAACTAAGTAGCACAACCCCACAGCGGCAAGCCTTCCCGTCCATCAAGGAGACCGTCTCCCCGTGTCCATACATACACATATGTAGCCCCAAAACACACGTCAAAAAAGCTCACGTACATATGCACAGCCATGCGCACCGCCGCCGAACACGCCAAACACAGATAGACCGTGCTCACGTGTTGCTTCCTCTCCTCATTACGTTTTCCTCCTCTCCACATTCACGCAAAAACACATATGGGTTTTTTGCAAGTCTGCCATGCCCCAGGCCCCGCCCTGCTCTCCCCCCGACTGACCGTTCTCACTTATGATACAGCCATTCGTCCCTTCCCGCCGCCGCATCCCACGCCCTCCCCTTCATAATGGGTTGTTGTTCCTTGATGGCGCCTTGGTGGGCTCCACGTGTTCGCCTCCTTTCCTTTTGGATGGCACACCTCATCAACACCGACCATCGAACCGTTCACCGAAGCCCTTCAGCCCTTCAGCTCTGCGACCGCCGCGCGCCGGACCTCCCAGGCATGGGCGAATATAGGCAGGCGGGGTTCCCCCCAGATGGTCTTCTATACTCGCCCTTCTCCGCCTCTGTTGAATGCAGCACCCTCCTGCAACCGACAACACACTGCCAGCCCTCAGTACGCACTTTCATGAGGTGCGCTTGGCGCCGCTGCTCCCTCTCTCCTCTCGTGCCTTACGTCGGACCATTGCCGCGGGTGCTGGCATTTGCCCGGTGCCCAGCTCAGCCTGAGGCAACTACCTGCCTCTACCACCCGTCTGACCCGCACTTGGGGACTTCGGTTCGCCGCCGTCCTTTTCCCCACCACCGATCCCCCCATTCATCGCTGGTGCCTTGGCAACCGCCGTGGCCTCCGTCTTTCCCTTCCCGCTCTCCTGCCGTGCCCGCGTGCCCCTGGATTTGGACACGGAGAGAATGCCGCGACCGGGATCCGACTCGGACTTGTTGGCGGAGGCGTGCTTTTTGGCGGCGGAGGCGGCGGCGCCGCCTCCGCTGTCCTTGCTCGGCGGCAGCTCCGCCGCACCACCCTTGGCCGGTTCGTTGATCAGCAGGTCCTCGGGCCGCACGCCCCACAGCAGCAGTGTGGCTCCCTGCGGCCCCGCCATCACTCGAAGCTCCTTCTGCGCCACCAGCTCCCCCGCAAAGTAGTCCGACACCCACACCATGACGGAGGGAGCCACGTGGAACTCGTTGCTGGAGGCCACGAAGGGACCGCCACCCGCGCCGTCGGCCTCGGCCACGTGGGCGGGCTCCAGGGAGCCCTACGCAGCCGGCAGCAGTACACGCCCTTAAAAGTGTAGGCGAGGGGAAGCGTGTGGCGCGCGCTACGCAATTTTCATCACCGCACGCGGGATCAAAGCGGCCACTGTACATGCAGGTGGAGCGGGTGAGAGGAGCGGGGAGCTGAGACAGAGGCGGCGTTGCTGCCCTCCAGGATGTCTGGCAGGTTACCCTGCTGCTACTGCTACTGCTACTGCTTCTGTTACCAACTCCTTTTCCCAGGATGCCATACACGACACGACCGGCCCCCCCAGGCCTTCTCCCGCACCGACCTGTATAAGCACCATGGTACTCCCCTGTATGATGCCCTGTCCGGGCCCCAGCACCACCAGCAGCGAGTCCTTGAGTGAGGTGCGAATGATGTCCAGCACCGCCCCGGTGGCGGCAGCTATGGCCTTGTACATCACCTCAACCCAAGGACTCGCGATCAACCGGGCGAGCGTCATCTGCTGGTTCTGCTGCTGCTCAGCTTCCGTTGGGGAAGCGCCGCCGTCGCCGGCAGCAGCGGCGGCAGCTGCAACATCGACGCCAGCAGCGGCGGCGCCGCCGCCGCTCCCGCTGGGGCTTACGTGATGGCTCAAGTGGCGGCGTTGGTGGCTGCTGTGGTTGCTGGTGTTTGTTGTGCTACTGAGGCCGTTGTGATGGTGGTGATGCGAATGGTGGTAGTGATGGCTGGAGTGATGGTGATGGTGGCTGGAGGTTGTGGCAGTCGCAGCAATGTTGTTGTTGTTGTTGTTGTTGCTTCCAACGCCGTTGGGCTCCAGGAGCATACGCGCCACCTCCAAGTCGGTGCTGAGCAGCTCGCCAATCTGGCCCCGCGACATCAACGGGTAAAGGAATACGGAAGATAAGAGAAACGAGGAAGCAGAAGGTGAGCAGCGTCACAGAATTGTAGGGTTCAGGACTACCTAGCGAACGGGCAGACCACGACGCAAGGTAGGGCAAGGCTGGGGGGGGGTAGGAAAAGAGTCGGGCAAGGCTGTGGGGGGGTAGGAAAAGAGGACGGAGAGGAAGGACGATGGGGAAGAAAGAGGCTGCTAAGAGCGCGCATGGGTTTACCCTGGGCGTCTGATTGATAAGCCCACTTGCCCCACTGACTTGCTCACTCCTAGCTCGTTCATTCACTCACTCAACATCAGGCACTGAATCTGTCTGAACCTTCTCACCCAGTCTATGGCCCCGTCCACGATGTAGTCGGCTGCTGCGGGCTGCAGCAGCAGCCGGATGCGCTGCCGCCGACCCATGGGCCCGTCCAGCCGCTGAGAGGACAGGATGGTCAGCAGCGAGGAGCGGATGAACGCGGAGAACTGCTGGGTAACCTGCGAAGGTTTATGGGGTCACGAGGCGCAGGGGAGGAGAAACAGGGGAGGAGAAACAGGGGAGGAAAAACGTGGAACGAGGTCGTGGCGGCACCGGCGCACACTGAAAGAGTTTAACTCGTCCGAGGGGGACTCTGTCACCAGTGTGCATGCATGCGCTATGAATGGAAACAGCTAGCCGAGAGGGGCCAAACAGAGCCCCAACCGAACCGTGTTGGCATCCCGCAAGTCCTCGTCCTTGGCTCTTCTCTTCACAGAACCTACCTCCCCACCTCCCTCCCCTCCCTACCCTCCCTCCCCACCTCCCTCCCCACCTCCCTCCCTCCCCACCTCCCTCCCTCCCTCCCCACCTCCCTCCCTCCCCACCTCCCTCCCTCCCCACCTCCCTCCCTCCCCCTACTTACCTAGCTACCTACCTAGCTACCTACCTAGCTACCTAGCTACTTACCTAGCTACCTAGCTACCTACCTAGCTACCTACCTAGCTACCTAGCTACTTACCTAGCTACCTACCTAGCTACCTAGCTACCTACCTAGCTACCTAGCTACCTACCTAGCTACCTAGCTACCTAGCTACCTACCTACCTAGCTACCTACCTACCTACCTACCTACCTACCTAATCTATTCAGCCCTCAATCCCCCCTCCACACACACACCTGCTGCCTCAGCAGGTCCAGTACATACACCGCAGCAGTGCGGTACATCTGCAGGTCGAGAGCTTGGAACTGAGCCAGACCCTCCTCCCGACTCAGCCGCTTCAGGACCTGAGAGACGTTGGAGGGTTGTTGGGAGGGCCGTTGGACGTTAGGTGGCCAGTGAGAGCTGGTGGGGACAGAGGTTCGCTCTTTCTCTCTTTCTCTATCTTAATACCCACCCATACATCCACCCATACACCCACCCATACACCCACCCATGCACACACATGCATACATACGTAACACAACCACACTCACCTGCAGCACGCTCCATGGCACGTGCATCACCAGTGGGCCCTTGCCCAGCGCATTCCCCTCCGCGTAGGCCGCCGCGGAGCTCATCCCGGGTACGTGGCTCTCCAGCACACAGCTGACCAGACCCCCCACACCTCCCGCACCGAGGTAGTACGGCACCAGGGCGCCCTCCTGCTCCAGCATCATGCGCACCACTCCCCGAATCACAATGATGAGGCCGTCCGGCTCCGCGCCCGCCTGCTTGCGACCCATGTCCCAGATGGCGGCACCCTGTACAGCGGGAGGGGGGAGGAAGGCCGGGAAGTGAGTGGAGTTGAGGAAAAAAACGTTAGGGGTTCGGGGTTTGGACATTAATCATGCGTAACTCGTTCTATTGCCACAACCTCCTATTCACCACCCCTTTTCCTCCGTTCCCCTCCCCATCCCCCGGCACGGCACACACACAGCAGCCACGCGCAACCACACACGCGTCCCCCACCCGCCTGCGGGTACACCCTGAAGGTGCTGTTCTTGCGGATCCACTCCACCACCTTGGGCGACACCCCCCTCAGCACCGCGGTGCCCATCAGGATGTCCATCACGGTGGGCTGCCGCCAGCGGGGACCCCGCCGGGCCAGCAGCTGCAACCGCTTCTCAACCATCTCCACGATCATGCGGCACTCAGACTCCTCAATCATCCCGCCTGCAACGGCAACCGACAACGACCGTGGCGTAGGAGAGGGGTGATGCAAACTGGCTGGGCGCCAATTACAATTACAGCTGTAGCTGTGGCACAACGCGTGCCTGAAATTATAGTTGTGGCTCCGAGCTTGGACGCCGTCGGGTGGAGATGGGGGAGGGGGAAGACGAACCACGACCGAATGAGGCTGATGCCAGAGATAGACTGATACGCCAGAAGTATGTAAGAGGAGGGAAAGCAAGAATGGGGAGGGAAAGCAAGAAGCAGGAAAGCAACCACGCAACACGTGTACGCGCGCGTACTGGCCATCCATCCATGCCACACATCCTGATGTGCCCACGGCTGTCCCCATGCGGGCCCCCTCCCCCCGCATCTGCCGTATGTACGCTCACCCTCGTTCATGGACTTCACAAAGGCCTGCTGCTGTGTGAGCACGTCAATGACGGCCCGGTGGGTCTGCACCGCACCGAACTTCTTGGGGGACTCAATGCGGCGCTCGATGATGTACGCCCAGGCGCCATCAGCCTCGTGCTGAACCTGCACATCAAGGGAGAAAGAAAGACACGCGATGACCCGCCAATAAGCAGCAAAGACATATCGGCGGGGTGCGGGCCGTGTAGGAGTATGGACTTGCATCCCAAATACCAAACACGGATAGGGTTAGATGGATATATTTCATCGTTGTAATGCAAACGAATCCAAACTGGGTGAACCTGTGGGCGGGGAGGAAATGGGTCTCAAGGAGCGGAGAAGGCGGAGGGAGAGAAAGTGGATTAAGGAAAGGAAGGGATGTCCTGCTGCGAGGGAGGAAGAGAGAGGAAGAGAGATAGGGGGCGCTTCCGCCGTACGTACCTCATCCAGCAGCCTCTCTCCATACACCCCGCTGTATTGCAGCCATTCAGTTTGCAGGCTCTGAGTGAGTGAGGCCCACAGCTCCACCGCTGTTTCCAACCCACGCAGGGTGGCGGCCGAGGTGTGGCTGCTGATCAGTCGGACAAAGGGCACCAGCAGACGAGGAACCACCGTGCGGACCTGGGGCGAGGAGAAGAGAGATAATGCGTAGATTGAATTAGGCCCATTATGAAGGAGGAGAAACATCGCGTGTGGTAACTAACAAGCGTTTCTTGGTGCGGCGCGGATTGAGCGGTAGCGCACGCAAGGAAGATTGGCTTGTAGCAAGGAAGATTGGCTTGTAGATTTCCTCTGTGCCGTGCCTGTGCTCCCCAAGCTCCCGCCTTCACAAACCCAACGCACCAGCGTAACCGACGACGCCTTGGCGGCGGCTGTCCACTGTTTTAGTTTGAAATAGAGCGCCACCTCCACCTCCATCACCGGGCCGCTGCTAATCTCCTTCTTGGCCATGGCCCACAGCTGCAGGGGCTCCTCGGGGTGATGGGCAGACTGGTCGGCAATGTAGCTCAGGACCTGGAACACGGGGCGGGAGAAGGTAGGCGGGTAAGGGGTAAGATGATCCATGGAGGCGGGACGCTTGAGGAGGAGGAGGAGAGTGGAGGTGAGCGGAGGAGAGTGGGCGGATACAGGGATACGGAGGGGCAGGGGGGATACTGATATGACGTGGTGGGGGGTGCACGTTCCCTCCCTCCCGTCCCTCCTACCTATGGTGATGCTCCTTGATGAAAACCTAGTCCAACGCTGCCTTCCCTATGTTCGTCCCCCGCCTACCTCCTGCTGTCTGCGCGGGGCAGCTGTATCAGTGGCCTACATCCCGCTTCTGCCGACCTCCCTCTCCTTTTTCTTACCGACGGTTCACTTTTCTCCTCTTCCTACATTCTTCCCCCGCCTTCGCCTTCCGAGCCCCTTTCGCCTTCCCTCCCTCCCTCCTTCCTTCCCTCCGCCCACCGCCGCGCCCTCCGGGCCCCCTACCTTGTATGCTGAGGGACTCAGGCTGCCCGCTGCATGCTTCTGTTTGTAGTACTGCTTGAGCCCCGTCAGCAGCCTCAGGCGATATTCCACCAACAGCGGGTCGCACACACCCGCAGAGCCGCCACCACCGGCATCAATCTCTGGGAGAGGAGGGGAACGGGGAAGGAGCCACCCGGGCGGGCAAGCAGGGGGAATGAAGTCGCAACATAATAAAGGGTGCGGACTCAAGAGGGTTGGATGGACCGGGGAGCCGGTCATGGGCCCAGGGCCGGTGGCATGGTAGCGGTGAGTGGCATAACGGAGGATGGGGATGGCGCATCCAGCCGAGTCGTGGGGTGGGAGAAGCGTCAAGCACGAGCCTGCACCCACCACTGCTCGATTGGCGCAACGCCCCAGACGCCGATGCGCGCGCCAAGGCCGCCGCGGCGCTGCCTTCCGCGAACCGAGTGCGCCGACCCAACTCCGGGCTACGGCCTGACTGGTCGCGGCCGCCACCGCCGCCACCGCCACTACCGCGATCAGTTTGGCTCCGATTCTGACTTGCGGACCGGCGGATGAGCGACATGAGGACGTTCTTGTTGCCGGTGACACCGAGACTGTACTGGGCCGCGCCCAGACTCTGACTCGCCAACTGCTGCTGCTGCTGCTGGGAGGACTCGCGCTGCTGGAAGCTCTGCATCTGCAGGGCAATATGACTGTTGCTGCTGTGGCCGAGCCCGTGGCCGGGCAAGGTGGGCGAAGGGCAGGGCGCACCCGTGATGGAGGCGCGCTGCGGCAGCACCGAGGAGCCCATTGGCTGTATCTGCTCCGGCGCGGCAAGGGCCAGCCGGCCATTCACGCCGTCAGCAGCGGCGGCAGTGGATGTGCTGTCAGTGTCATAGATGCGGGCCAGGTGGGTGGAGACGGCGGCGAGGCCTGCGGAGGGTGGTGCGGGACGTAGGGGGTTTTGGGAGTGGCTACGTCAAGAGCAATGCGAGATGTGACTGCAGCACCGTGGTGGCGGGGCCTGCGGTGGTAGCCATGCCCTGGCAACGGGCCGTTAAGGCAGCAGGTCGCGCAACCCTAAGATTCAGATATTTATGCTTCGGGATCGGCATGTGTGCCATAGGTACCGTCGTGGGGTTCAAAGGCCACTGGGACCATAGCCGATACCAAAGAGCCTCGCGGCGCATCCCAGTGAAGGGGAACTGCGTGAAGGGGAACCCCTTCACCCCCCCACCCTCCGTTCACTCACCTCCCTGACGGCCCAACCGGACGGAACCCCGGCTCAGTGCACCACCACCACCGCCACCACCACCACCACCGCCTGCCGCCCCCTGCCGTGTAGACGGCCTTGCCAGACCTCCACCGTCAGCAGCGCCACCGCCGGCGCGAATGGACGAGCGGCCGAGGCCGCCGTCGGCTGCGCCCTGTCGCACAGAGCCCCGACCCAGGGGTGCAGCGTCGCCACCACCACCGCGTGTGGCTGCATGGAAGGCGTCCCCAAAGGAAGGCCCCGCGGCCCCTTCATCGGGGGGCATCACGAACTCGAAGGGGCTGGGACCTAACGGCATCGAGCCCTACCGCCGTCACCACACACAGTGGGAAGGCAGTACCGACATGGCAGGCGTGCGGAGGGAGGAGTGGATATGACGTGGTTAGAAGGGTGAATGGAAACAAGTACAATGAGACAGCGGAGAACTCCCCCGGCCCAATCACGCATACACCACGTTACACATCACCCACCCACCCACCCGCCCATCTACACTTTTATCCCGTCCATGTCTGGGCTTCGTCCCTGTCCGCGGTACCGCCACGGCTTCTTCCCTGGTCGGCCCTCTACCCCCTGTCTTTTCAGTTGCCCTACGGTACGACTCTCCAAGTGTCCCTCTCCGTCCTTCAGTGGCTATCCGTTTGGATTTCGTCTGGATCCTTTCACTGGCCCCAGGCCGCCCCTCCCGCTGGGCGCGACCCTCACCACAGAGCTCAGGCCACCCTCCGCCATGGCCGGGAAGACTCCGCTGCTACGGCCCAGAGACCTCCCCGCGGTGGGTGCAGAGAGGGAGGTGCGACCCAGAGGCCGGTCCGCAGCCGCAGCCGCCGCCGGCCCCGCCGCCGTAGCGCTCGCGGTGGAGTGCGCTCCACCCCACGGAGGTACCATGGACACTTCGGAGTCGGCAGCTGCGGGGGGAAGCAAAAGCACAACGAGCGCGCAGAGCACGAATTAGGGATAAAATGAAAAGTGCAACATGAATATCCCCAAGTGTGATTTTGCGGGGAGTTGCGGGGATTGAAAGTAGTGAGCGGATGGTAAGAGAGCGGGAGAGGACGGAGGAGGAAAGCCGATGGGCCTAAGCGGAGGGCGGGTTGGGAGGGAAGTGGAAGGAGGGCGGCAGAACAGAACAGGAGGCACAGCTTTGGAGTCGTCTGGAGGGGCCCGGTAACGGATGTGGTGAGGTACTATCCTCTTCGTGTAACACCAGGCAAAGATTTTCAAAGAGTACTCAGGGAGATGCCAAGGAAGCTGGACCCTTCTTACACTTCGCCACCGCCACCCTCCGCTCCCTAGTCCTCCCTGAGCCGGATAACTTCGTCCGGATCTGCCGTGCTGCTGCTCTTACTCCTTTCTGCTCTTGAGAGTTATCCGGGCACACGAGTCATCCGGGCACACGCACCTGGTGGCTCCTGCTGCTGCTGCTGTTGTGGCGACTGTGCGGTGGTTGCGCCCAGCCGCACGGAGCCGCGGCCGAGGCCCCGACCGCCCGCTGTTAACGTGTCCGTCCGCAAGGCCTCCAGCGCACTGCCTCTGCCGCCGTCATCCCCCAGCCGCTGCACCAGCCGCACACCGGCACTGGGGCCTATGGAGCTGGTCGGCAACGCGGAACCGCGTCCTAGGGGCCGATGATGGCGACGACCATGGTGATGATGATGATGATGATTATGATGATGATGACGACGACAGCGAATGCAATGATTATGGTGACGACGTGGTGGGCGCAACGTGAGGCAGGGAGCATGCGGGATGGGGCGACATGTGTGATGATCAGAGAGACGGCGAACGAGGGGGACTAGGAATCTAGGATAGCCGGGTATCCTGAATAGGCTGCAATGCTCCTTGCCACTACTGGTATCTTGTTTATGGAGGAGGTGGGTCACAGGGCAAGGGCAGGGAGGTCTACCGCAACCATAAGAGACCCTTCACCTGGCCGTCTATAGTCCGCATTCCCTCTCCTCGGCCCTGTAAAGGTACACGAGAATGCCGCTTCCTGCGCCTCCTACGCCATTGCATTAGCCCCCGGACCCCACGCCAAGCAACGACCCCAGCGGCCTCAGCGGGATGCATGATTCCCTCCCCACCTGGCTTGATTACGAGCACGCTCTGCAATAGTCCCCGGTCACCGCCTGCCGCCTCCAAGCTGCCTGATGCATGGCGCGCCACCGGCTCCGGCTCCGAAGTCGCCCCGGCCAAAACGGGCCCACTGGCGGCTACTTCCGACGACCGCTGGTCCAGCGTGCTCAACTTGGGCAGCGAGGCAGAGGGATGTAGACGAGAAAATCCCGCCGAAGGCGATCCGTTTCCTCCACCGCCAACAGCTACTCGTGACAGGGGACTTGGTCGCGCGACAGGATTTGAAAGGCGTGGGCTGGATGGCGCGGAGAGCCGCGGCCGGGCAGTGAGCGGCGGCGAGGGCGGCGGGCCCTGCGTGCCTGATAACTGCTGCTGCAGCGGCGGCAGCTCCGGAGCCTCCAGTCCTGAGGGCGAGCTCGCCGCCATGAGGGCTGCCTCAATCAAGGAGTCCCCGCCGGATGCGCGCGAAGACATTTTGGAGGGGTGTCGAGTCGCTGCCGAGACGACAGCGGCCTCCGCACTCCTTTCCTCCTGTGCGCGAGCCAACAACAGGAGCTCGGCGTCTACAAGACCGTCCCTGCCCCCGCCGTCGTCACCATCACCGGCCTGCGCCTGCTGCTGCTCTCCCTCCGCCGCCTGCTGCTCCACAGGGGCCACCTCCAGGCGCTGCGACTTCTCTGCATCGCGCGGCAATGGCAGCGGCAAGGGAGCCGACAGCACCACGTCAATCTGCGCCTCTTCAACGATGGTCCCGTCCGATACGGCTGCTGGTATGGCCGCACATGTTGCGGCAGCGGCGGTGCCAGGTGCACAGCCGCCGTCGGACGGCGTCTCCGGTATCACCAGGGGCAGGACCGGCGGAAGGCCCCCGTTGTCGCCGCCGTTCGGCGATACCGGCTGCTGCTGCTGCGAGGACAAGAGGCAAATAGCAGGTCCCGCCACGGCGCCCTCCAAGAACCGGCTGTTGCTCCGGTTAAAGCCAACACGGCCGTGCACTGATGGCTCGCGGTCGATGCCGTTGACACCACCGCCAGCGGCGCCTGGCGGCCCCACAACCAGGGATGAAAGCCGGTGGGAGTTGTTGCGGCGCAATCCACTGTTGCCGACAGCAACAGCGGATGAAGGCCTGCGGCCGCTGGCTCCAGCAGAGGTGGAGTAGGCGGCGGGTGAGGTGAGACCACGGGTCCCCGCGCTGGAGATGTTGGCAGAGGAGTCGCGAATGACCAGCGAGGACAGCAAGCGGCTTGGGGGCCCCGGGGCCCGTGATTCGCCTCGGTTGATTTCTCGGAGGTTGATCTGCGGGGCCAACCCAACAGGGATTGATAGGACGCTGTTGGGTAAAGAAGAACACCGACATGGAAGTGATGCGGTAGAGAAGACAGGAAGAGGAAGGGACGAACGAAAGAGTGGACAAGGTTTTAAAGTCACAGTTGCGTGCTGGCTGAGCGAGGCAGGGACTGCAGCGTGCAGTTGGACCTGCACTTTGCCTGCTGCTGATGCTGAAAGGGCTGTCGGTCTGAGATTGGATGGAGATTTTATTATGAGATTTTATTATTATCCTTTATGGCAGAATTACCGGTAAAGACATCTGACCATGTCGGCCACATAAGGTCCTATGCAATAGTACACGCAGCGGCCGGTGGATACACCAGCCGGAAGGACAGGAGTGGCCTCGCCATCTCAACACGAAGGGCTGCCCTCAATCCCACCAGAACCTGTCCCCTACCCAACCTAACCCGACCCACGTTTGTTGCGCGCTTCAGCTCGGCCTCCTGCTGCTGCCTGTTGAGCGCCTGCTGCTGCCTGTCGTCGCGCGACTCCAGTTCCAAAGCATCCGGATTGCAGCGGCCACGGAGGCATGCCGCCAAGTGGCGACCCAGCCGCAGGGGTGCAGTAAATAAATTCAGCCAGTAGCCGCGAGACACCCAGCGGACGCGGGGCTGGACCTCTGCACACGCACATACATGCACACATGAACACGTGGCTTAATTATACCCCAGCCATAACATGCACCATGCCTAACGCACATGCGCACAGGCGAGGCGGACATGTGGGTTTGGAAAATAGAGCAGGGGCCCCGACGGGTCACGCAATGAAACACTCATGGATGAAGAAAAAAGGAAGTGAAGTCTAACGGGGTCCGGTAGGACAAGATAGGATGGATGGGGATGGATTGGAGGGTTCCGGGAGAGCTTTCTCATCTGGGTTTCTCACGTGCTCCAGTCCAAGTCCCAGTATCCGTCACAGACCTCACCGGGTAGCTCGTTGTCCAGCTGCTTGTCAAAGTTGGTGTGCAACTTCAGCATGGCCCAGTCCAAGCCCTGGAGCAGCTCATCCTCGTCTTGACCGGCAGCCAGATCCTCGATGGCGGTCAAAGAGAACTTGCGGAACAAGTTCTTAACCTACACAGGCCAGCCGCAAGGGCGCTTTAAGCTTACGGCGGTTGAGACACAAGGACGTCGATAATTGATAGTTGATAGTGCTGGCGCAAGAGGAACGTTGACATTAGATTGGGCATAGAGACATGTGTACGAGGGTTTTCTATACATGTAGACGCACACATGTGCGCATATGTGTGTGTGGTATATATACGTGGACGCGATGGTAGATTTTGACGTGTGTTTGCTACTCTGCTCATACCATGAACGCGAGTAAACACGCATTCACACGCGCACCATGTCCTCGATCCTCAATGAGAAAAACCTGACTGGCCAGCCGCGCTAAGCAACCACAAGGCAAGAGTCCAAATACCAGCACCGCCAGCCGACACCACCTCACCTCTCCCCGCATTGCCAGCTGCTCCTGCCGGACCTTATCCAGACCCAGCAGTGTCAGCAACGGGCCGCACAACGGAGCGTTAATCAACAGCGTCATGATCACTGGACAGGGTGGAGGGGGAAATGTTGGCAAATTGTCAGTGTGTTGTTGCCAATATCCACGCAGGCAGGAAGGCGAGGGAGTTGGCAGAGCAGGGAGTTGCAGGGTCCGCAAGAGGGTTGCCTGAGAAGGGAGCCGGTGGCAAGTGACCAGGGCAGGTCTGTCTCTGGGTGATCAGCCCAGTTTCCCAAAATGTGCACTAGCTTTATCGGCAGGGGCCGTTTGCAGCTTAGGGAGGCCACATAGGGAGGCTACAGGGGCTGTGTGCCACGGAAGGACCAGGCGCCTTACGACTAGCTGTGGCTTGACACACAGATATCCGCAAGTCGACAGGCACGGAGATGCGCCCACTGTGGGCGCAAGCGCCTGCGTGACCTCACCTAATGTGCGCAGCTACCGCCATCGCGCCTCTGGCTCCTCTCCGCTCCTCTTTGCCCTCCCACACCGCCAACTGCCGTCAGTGTCCTCCATCTTCAGTGCCACCGCCAATGGCCGACAACTCAACTCCGGTGTGCACATTGCCATTGCCCTAGCGTGCCAGGCCCACCCCTACGTGCCATGCCACCGCACCACACCACACCACACCACGCACCATATCCCGCAGTGTAGATCGCAATCTCCGCCTTGACTCGCCGGTTGGTCTCGTCCTCAGTGTGAGTGGACGCCAGCGTGGCGGCCGACTGCGCCAGCACCAGCGACAGACTGCCACGCAGACCGCCCACCGTCACGAATATGACCTCTTGAATAGACAACCCCTCGCTCAGCCGCACCAGCTGAAATAACTTAAAACTGCGCGGGACAACAACAACAACAACAACTGGATTTGAGGTGATCCAGATGAGATGTTGGAACGGGCAAACAGTCCGACAGACCGAAGCCCTGAGAACCGGATATCCATGCAGACGTGGTCAAGCTTCAGGGCTCTAGGCTCTAGGACCCTGCCGTTACTACACGCTCGGACGAAAGTCAAGCTCACCTTACGAAGATCAGTATGAATCTCAGCGCGAAAGACGCCAGGAAAATAAGTGGGAGCTTGTACAGCAGGATCTTGACCAACGGAATACCACCGGAGTCCACATACAGCGACCGAGCGGACCTGTAGCACGCGCGAAACATGAGGACAGTGGATATGACAGTTGCAGCAGCAGCAGCAGCAGCGATGGCGATTCAAAAAGCCAGTGGGCCCAAGGGTTTGACCCTCTGATCGACATGCTACGACGGGGATAATGGGTGAATACGGATTCGCGGCACATAGGTGTCGATGCAAGGAACCATGGCGGAAGGTAATGCCAGTCGTGCCAAGACGCGTGGTTGTGTTGGACCCACATACCGCATCAAGGGAGGGACCTCACATGAAGGGAGATGTGAACAACGCAGCCGCACGTGGGGCGCTGGTTTCAAGGGGATGACATCTCAGCTTTGCACTAAAACTCCAGGGTCACGTTCCAAGTTTCAAACCATAAGCCCAAGCCTGAGGTTTTATAGTGGCTTGGAGGCGAGCTGCCATTGATGGCGGCGACGTTCTTATTAGTATTGGCATTGCTGGTACATGCAAAAGCACCCAATCCTCTCGCACCTGATTGTGAAGTTCACGGAGGAGGCCCCCACGTCTGCGATCAGGGATTAGGCAAATTAATAAAGGGGGGCTGGGGACCAGAAGGTTCGGGCCGCGCACGTATACCCTACTGCGCTACCCGCTGCGCTGATGTTTACCAAGTGATATGCGAAACGGAAGGGTCATGACAACAGCCGCGGCCCAAGACCCAGGCTGATGCTGGTCCACCTACCCGCATGCGCCCGCACCAGGTTCAACCCTATATGAAGTGTACTACGCGTACAAGCTTGCTACTTGGCAAACTTCAGACTTCGGTCCCATGCCAGATTGACCCGGAAGACCACCTCGCAACTCCCGGAACTTACAGAAAAAGATCAGGCCGTTGATGACGAACGCCATGACGGCCCAAAACTGGGTGAAGATGCCCGTCAGTCGCGCCTTGGTGCTCATGCCCCACAGCAGCGTGGAGCTGCCGTACAGCCCAAACACCACCGCACCGATGCATCCCGAGCCCTTGCACCATACCTGCACAGCAAACGGGTCGCGGCGGGGCCCCACATAATGGTGCCATGATGGTGCTATGATGGCGCATGTTCAACCTAGCCAGGAACTTTGGAACCATACTATTATCACCTGCTGTTGTCACTTCATGATACCTGGCCCGCTGGCTCTACTCTTCGTGAGTCTGGAGCCCACTGGAACAACGACACACTTCATATCAACCCTCCTTACTACTTTTTGTTGCCCAGCTCGCAGGTCTATCGGACTATGGCGGTTCAAATACCCGCCTATTCCAGTTTGTGCGCCTTGCGAGGTAGCCACGCATGACGCAACAACCACGACCCCACAAGGCCACCCCACCTGTGTAATGTAAAAGCTGAGGTAGGCGCCCGCCACCGACCAGGCCACCTCCGCCGTGGCCTCCATGTTGCGGTGTTGCAACCAGGCAAAGATCCAGCTGTAATCGCACGCGGGAACGTGCACATGTGCGGAACAAATATGAGGATGCGAAAGAAACGCCGACGAGTTACAAAGGAGGAGGGACGAAGAAGGGAATGAGCCGAGGATTGTCAGTTAGGACAGGCTGCAGTTAAAAAAGGTCCAGGTGTTCAGTGAGCAGCTCGGAAAATGATCATGCCTTTGCTTGCTGCGTGTTTGCGGTGCGATCCTTCAGTGCACATGCCCATAAGGGTGATGCTTCCTGTTTCCCATCCATACGCTTTACGGCATAGGATGTCGTACGGCATGGTACTTTGCTTTTGCCATCTGCCGTATGCTTTGCGCCTGGTCATCGCCTTTGCGCCTGGTCATCGCGAGCCCCAAGCAGCTCGCGGTGCTGCCCAGCGATGTCTACCAGTACACGAGGCGCAAATGAATGCACGGGGCTGTGCTCTAGGGGCAGTCCATACATACCAACCCCTAAATCAACTTGCGAGCTGACCAGGAACTAAGTTGATGCGCCGTTGATCCGCTAAATTTGGTTGGATGCTGGTGGTGAGTTGCCGAACCCAACGAATACATTCTGAAGTCGGATGGGGTGACGGATTAGGGTGCCCCTCTAGCAGGGGAGAGCAGGGACTGCCCGGGAAAGGGGCCGCTGGCGAAGTTAACCACCCTGTAACAACATACATACCAACCCCTCCCACACGCCCACGCATCCACGGGCGCCGACAGTTGATTTTTTGCTTCATGCACATGGTTCCCATCCACCTACCCACGCACCGCGTAAAAATGCCCATGGCAAGCCCAATGCAAATGCCCGTGAAAGCGGACCACACGGTCTTCTCCACGATGCCCTGCAGGTCGTGCGCGAGTGTCGTCTTGGCATCCTCCAGCACCACCTCCTTGAAGATCTCAAACAGCGTCAGCGAGGATGCATCGTTGAAAAGCGATTCCCCCTCCAGAAGCACAGACAGGATTTCCGAGCCGCCGCCTGCAGCCGCGGCGTCCGATGTGAAGTTGAGAGGCCCGGCGTAGTGATATGGGTTTTTGAAACATGTGCTGTTTCTTAAAAAGACGGGTTCTGCGAACCGGGCTCCGCCATTGAACCCAAGCACCCTTCCAACTACAGGAATTTCACATGCCGCTATGCGTCCCTCCCTAGAGCCGAAAGCCGTCGCTTCTGGCTTCACCTCGGCCACCGGCACAGGCACAGCAGTTGTATGCATCCTGGCAATCCAGCCGAATCGTTTGAGCCCCTGGCCGTCACGCATGGATAAACTCAAATGCCCTTTGGACGGTTTGGAGTGAAACAGGGCCGCTGCCCTCTGCCCCTCCCGTGCCTCAGCTAGTATTGTAGCGATACCGCGGCGAGCGCTCACCGCCGCGCAGCACCGCGGACACGGAAGCGGCATCTGTGGAGGCAATCATGGAGCCGAACAGCGCCACGTAGCCTGCCGTCCAGCCGGAGGAGCTGAGGTCCAGTGCATAGAGCATGAAGGGGATAAGCAGCAGCGCCGAGGCGGCCACCATCACGAACGCCATGAAGGCGATGTTGAAGGCGACCTGTGCAGGGGGGTTTCGGCGCGGGGCGAACTTCTGACACGGGAGGGCGTGGCTGCTAAGGCGGGGTATCCGGGTTAGGCGCCGAGGCCTCGGTTATTGCTAAACGCAATTCAACATGCCGTGTTACCGCAAACATAACCCTGATCTATAACCACAAACTGTGTTGTGGCAACCAGGTTGTGTCATGGAATGGACGCTTACCCAGGCGGCTGACGCAAGGCAAGGCTAGACATCAGGGGTGAAGAGAGGACCCACGCCCTGGTCCTGCTGTAAACCGTCGCCGTTTGGATGATAACCCCCTAGAATCTGGTCGCGCCCCTTCCTGCCAACTAACCACTAGATATCTTCAGCGATTATTGCAAGGCAGGGCCGTCTACGTGACGGGAACATGGCAACACAGACAGCAGGCGAGTGCGCGCATGTTCATATTGTGCTATAACATCTTAATGCCCTCGGAAGCCATCAGCAGTGCTCGCATGTGCTCTAAGAGACTTTAATTATATATAATCACAGTTTACGCCATCATTGCGCTGAATAACCCATTTGGGTCAGACGCCTGCCGCCTGGAATGGCCTGCGGCCGCTGCAGCGCGGCAAGGTGCCCGAGTGCCCATCGACCGGCTTCACCGTCCTGGCCTGGTGCCCTCCAGCCCCCTGGCCCGCAAACACACGGCAGGCCTCCAATCTTAAAACCCTGCCAGATCATGCCCTCCAAAAGGCGCCCCGCGCCGGCACGCGGCTGGCATTACCTTCTTCAACATGAAGAAGTCTATCCGCACGGATGCATCCAACAGGAAAGGTGGCAAAAACACAAACACGAAGATATCGGCTGGGCGCATGCCCAGCCAAAGCATGACTGCATTGCTGACATGTTCCAAGTTGTAGTAGTATGAAAAAGTGAAGTAGATGCCTCCGAAGAACAGGACGATGAGCGCATCCCAACGCGGGGAGGCCAAACACATGACAGCGATGGCCACGCCCGCGAAGAAAACGGCATCGTAGCCGCCATCTGGTACTAAGCACCAGTTCCTGTGAGCGACAGCGTTCGGAGGGGTCAGTGAATCCAAGGGTTATACAGCTCCGCGGGGTGGGGAGAAAAAGCAACCCAGATACAGCATGGGTTTTCCGCGCTTGCTGATACAACGTTGATGAAAAAGAAAGCCAAAGCAATAAGCACTTTGTCCATCACGTAGGCTTGTTTGCAGGGAAGACTAAATGTATATGCAGAGCCAACGGCCTACGAGTTTGTTGATATCACAGCCAGTGCCCGACTTTGTCAGCAAGTCGTAATTTATATGACAAGGAATGCCTCAGTCACTAAGCGCTTACCAGCCCGCAACGTTGTCAACGCGGTGGGCGTAAGACACGTCCTTGTCCAAACAGAATTCTGCGCCAGCAGACGGTGCACCGCCTGAAAGCAGTGACCGTAGCCACTGGCTTGGCTCCATAAGATTTTGCATTCGTGTCACTCCCCGTGTTATGCCCCCAAAGGACGGCTTCTCGCCATCGAGGACGCTATATGAGTTGAAATAGCAGCACCCAGCCTATTACCGCACAGGTGTGCATTTAAAAATGGACTTCCGGAGCCGAAAAGTCATTTCAGCTGCATAAGCGCGTGCACGTGCGTCAGACGTGCGATAAAAAGCATTTGTAAACGGAATCCACGTGCGGTTCTACAGTCGCTAGCTACATCCAGACTTACATCTTAGATAATGGCCAGAGCTATGGGAGGAAGAAAAAATTAGCGTACGAATATTGCACCGTACAAGTTGAGCATCGCCACACTTGTCAGCCGAAATGTATTTTATCGTTTTGGAGATCCATACAAAATAGCGTCGATAACTGTGTAACAAAAAGCTTCCGTGCGCGTCATCACGCGGTCAGCTGTTGTTTTGCGAGCCCAACAGTCTGTCACCGCATCCTTAAAGGCGAAAACGCCCACATAGATGACATGAACAAGCAGCGTTTAGTAAGGAAACTCGCCATGCCGGAAACGCCAATACGGTATATAGATAGGAAGCCAACCCATCGCACATACAGTACAGCAAGTTAACCGTTCTACCTTTCCTACCCACAACCTGTGGTCTTGAGGCCGAGCTCGCTATATATCCTAAGACGAAATTTTGGCAAAACCTTTGTTACACGTTGCTCTTCAGCTCTTGAGTGTTGTATTAGTTGCATCCATAGTAATCTAACTACCGGAGCATCAAGAAGCGCGCATAAAGCATTCCACAATGACAATCGCCACAGCTCTTTTCCACAAGCTAACAAAGCGTGCTCCGACTCCCTACCCAATATATCCATTCTGGAAACCGTACGGCAGCCGGCGGCAAGCTTATGCCTTGTGTAGCAGGTTCCCATAATCTCACGACACCATTTCTTTTGGATTGCGCATGTCCTGCACGACAGCAATGGATCAATCCGGGCTATTCGATTGTACTACCTACCCATTTCACAAATCAACTACGTGCTTCCTACCGGAAGGAAACGATGGATCGATCCTTCCGTCGTCAGGCGCTCCCTGAACGGGGAGGAAAGACGAAGTGACGGTCCTACTGTTTCAGAATTATAACCGCATTGAGTAGCCCCGCGGTTTCCAGCGTCTGATCCTCGCCCTCGATGACCTTATTTGGAAAAGCAGTCGTCAGCTGGTAGGAGGTCTGCGGGCAAATCAGGTGAACAACGTACCATAATAAGTACCATAAAGATCCCCTCGCGAAATGCCCCTTCCCATGCCACAAACTAGGGCAATTGACTAAAAAGCCATGTAGCAAGGTTAGGCCTAGTACATGCGCAAAAACTGGCATGCAGCTAAAGGGCATCGAAAGGCGGGGGATCAACTTAGGATACAGACACTCTTCTTTCAGCCAATAGAAATTTGTGAAACATAGAGCTGCACGAAATCATGAAATCCCTGCCATTTACGAGAGCCCATGGGGGCATCATACACGACTGGACATGTAATCCATGTTCCAACCGCAGTTTACACGTACAAGACAGCAGCAGCCACGTCGATCCTGCTCTCACTGCTCACCGTCATGTCCGGCCTTGATGCACGTATGAACCGGCGGATGTCCCGCACAGTGTGACTGTGGTTAAAGCGCGCCACCATGCGCGACCCATCCGGCAGCCGCAGCTGCAGGGATGTCGTAGGTTTGGATTCGTCCACACCTTTCCATTCGCCAGCCGAGATGCTTTCAGCGGGAGGCGGCGCCGCACTCGTAGAGGCGCCAGACGAACCTCCCAGCGTTCGGCCCGTGCCAGTGAAATACCTGCGCATTTGTGCAAGCGCAGTTATGATAACCCAAATCTGAAAAAATCACTCCAGGCGAAACGTCACGATAGGGTAAAAAGTGTGCTCAATACCATCGGATAAATCATGCGTGCAGTAGATTGGTACCTTGTATGCATGGATATGCCCCATATTTCTAGCTATAACGATATCAACATTATACGAAAACTTCACAGCATTGCCGATTTGCGAATGATCCTTGATCGAAAAGAGTTGGCAAACATACAGAACAGCTTTGATCCAATCCTTCAATGTAGTTTGCCAAGCTTTGGGACCAGGCAGTAGCGTTCAGCCGAGCAACCATACGCTGACTCACTGCTTGGCTTTATCCCCTTCGGTGTACGGCTCCTCCTTCCGCATGAGGTTGACGGTGACCTGCATTAGAAAAGGGCACCGAAACCATAAAAAAAACCCAAACCTTTGCGAGATACTGCGTCATACGAGGCAGCGGTAACAGGATACTTGGCTACAGTCACGGATCCAAACGATACTGCGGCTTGTACGGAAGATGTTGCATCTGTCCAGAAGGACAGGCTGCAAATAAATCCGACACGGTCTTTGACGCAAACACAAACACTATCGTGTGAACCTGATGTGGCCTTCCCAGCCAGATCGCTACTTGAGGCGGCGGCACCGAAGCCTGGCTTACAATGTACGCTCCAGTTGTGCGCCATGCCACCAGATGCAACGACGACCTGGCTTGGAAACCACTGACGTGTCATGGAATGGATTGCCAGGACTGCGGGTGCGGGCGCTCGCGCACACATCCATTACCGACAGTTATGTTGAACGTGTCCGTGCAGCATCAGGTATGCCCGTCATGGCGACGACCTGTGACGCCCTTTTCAGCATTGTTCGCCCATGCCACATGCCTGTTCTCCTCAGACCACCCACCAAAGCCATCCGCGAGTGGTAACTTACCGGCGCACCATGCTTGCCCGTCTCAAGCTCCTCGGGGCACTCCCCCTGCACACCACCGAAGCAGCCACCCGCCAGCGTTAAATGCACGTGCTGTTACTCACCTAGCCTCACCAAAGATGCGCGTTACAAACACCCAGGATGTGTCAGGCATGGCGGCATGGCCGCAGCGACCTCATCGCGCTCGCAAGAGGCACGGGGACCCGCATATGAGAATTGGCAGAGTGAGACCGCCCTTGGGCGCAGCTGTTCCTGACTTGCCCAGCATAAATGCAGTCTTCACAAGTTATGAGGCTAAAAGTCATCGGGATCGGGTTCAGGTTTAAGAAACCCCACAGGTCCTTCTCATACAGCCCTGGTCCCCAACAGGTGTGCTATGCACCTGGATCCGTGCAACGCGGAATGATGCGCCAGTGTGCTCGGAGCCGCGAAATTGACACTCCTGCGCACCTTGGAAATGCTCTCGATAAACCTCGCGTTGGCCGGGTCATCCACGTAACGTGGCGGCCCATTATCCACCGTGAAGACGCCATTGTTGTAAAACGTGATGACGTGGTTGCGAGGTCCTTCAGCTGGGGGTTTGCTCTGCATGCATCCATGCGTCAAAGCACCATTGAGAAACTCGCATCCCGACGAGATGGATTGCCGAGTTGTGTGGAGGATTTCAGACTGCCCGGAAGGGGAGTGACCAGCTGGGGTCGCAAACTGGAGAGTGCAGGCACCGTCAGAGGCGCGTTATGACCACGGACCCACTGGGCTCGTGGGTAAGACGCGTCTTCCTACGCCTTCCCTGACCTGCCCACAATTGCTCACAGGAACAGGTCCGCCGCCCAGCGTGCGGCCTTGGCCATGGAAAGCCTTAGGCTGCCCCGGCAGGTCCTCGCTTGTACCCGCCCGTGCGCCGGCCTGCCGAGCGCGGTTGAACAGAGCCTCCACCCGATCACCCTCATCGTCATCCTGTGATGCCCCCTTCGAAAAGGTTAGAACCAGCCTCCATGTGTCTTCCAGGGTGGCCAGGCAGCAAAGCAATTGGACTCACCGACTCCTCAGGGGCGCCTCGAAGCAGCTGGCCGCTGCAGGTGGAAATATATAATAAGCAAGAGGCTAAGCACTCATAGGCATGCCATGTCACAATCTAGCGGTCTACATAGATCTTGGAACTGCACACACCTCTTCTCTCCGCCAGCGTAATAGTCGTTGAATTTCCCCTTGTCATCCTCACCCTCTCCATTCAAATCACTAAGGCTCTTAACGTTTGCCATTTACGCCAAATGTGTTGCGTACAGCTGATAAGCTTACCAGCCCTCCTTTATCCTCTCGTCATTATCTATTTCAAAGACCAAGTAATATCGATAGCTGGCAGGAACGCTTCCGGATCGTCATAGTAAGCTCTGACAGCTCTCACAATGAGGCCATTCCCGTACAGGTGTCGGGGTAATTGTACATAATGCTTCCGAATTGTGTATCTGGCATCTATAGGACTTTGGACGCAATCAATCTTTTCGTGGAGTCCTATTAGTAGCTGCGAGCAGTGACCGCCGACAGAGCCATGCTGAGCATTACGCGCTTCAGCCAACAGCCTTGCCTGCCGGGCCGACACAGTAGTGCTTACAGGGTAATTCGCTGCCAGGCAGCCCCTGCCGCTCCATCGCCTGCTCCCGAGAAGTCGCCGCTGATTCAGCGTACGCAAGAGGGCGCTGACGACGGCAAGGCATTTATTAATTTGATTCCCAATAACGGGCGTTGGCCAAACGGTATACCCCCGGTTATGGGATCTCACTTGATGGCCAGTGGAACCGTCGCGCCAGTCAGCGTCTCTAAGGGTGCTGGTGTGGACTTGATCCCCCACCAGTTTCAGTACCACACCACCGAAACCGACGCTTCGGTCCTGCTGTATGTTACCCCCGAGAAGGCCCAGGCGGGACTTACGAAGCTGGTCGTCGAGGCCGCCCAGGCTGCTGTGAAAGCCAAGGGCGCCTTCACGCTTGTCCTCTCCGGCGGCTCGCTGCCAGCGCTATTGGGACCCCTCGCCAGCGCGAAAGGCATCGATTGGTCCAAAACGCACATCTTCTTTGTCGATGAGCGCAACGTGCCGCACACCTGCCCCGACAGCACCTTCAAGGCGGTTCAGGAAGCGCTGCTGTCCCAGGTACCCATTCCGGCATCGCAGGTCTACGCAATTGCGGAGGGCTTGCCTGTGGAACAGGCTGCAACCCAGTATGAAGGCCGCCTCATCAGCATTCCCGCATCGGCGCTCCCGCGCAGCGCCGACGGCGGATTCCCGGTCTTTGACCTCATCCTCCTAGGCGTTGGTCCCGACGGCCACGTCGCCTCGCTCTTCCCCAACCGCCCCGAGACCGCCGCTACCCAAGGCTGGGTGCTGCCAGTGAAGGACTCTCCCAAGCCGCCCCCGGAGCGGATCACCATGACTATGCCGGTGATTAATGCCGCTAAGGAAGTGGCGGTCGTGGCGCTTGGCGAAAGCAAGCGTGAGATCGTTCAGCGCGTACTGGAGGTGCAGGCGCTGCCTGGCGCGCTGCCGGCGCAGCTAGTGCGGCCCAAGGGCGGCAAGCTTAAGTGGGTCCTTGACGTGGCATCGGCAGAGCTGCTGGACGTGGCCAGCTGGGGTGAGGGCAAGGAGTTCCCGCGCAGCTCCTTTTAGGTGGTGCGCAGGTTGCGTGGGGTTGCGTAGGGGCGCGCAGGTTGTCGTGGTGTGTGTTTGGAGGCATGGGGTGCGGGTTTATAGAGGTCGGTTCTTGCGGGCTGTGCAGTATTGACCTCTCTCTGTTTAGTGCCAATCTTAATAGTAGGGACTGTAGAAGTGATTCATGTTCCTACGGGCTTGGGGCGCTGGCCATCGTCAAAGATCTGCAATAGCGGCAAGTTGCGTCGGCGTGAAACGAACTGGTGCCTGGTCTATGGCTCGCCAGCTGATTCGAATCCGAAGCTGCGAAGATGTGTGTGTTTGGCAGCCACCGGTGAGCATTATTGGCTACGGACCATATGGTAAGCGGTTTGGCGGTTTCTGGTTTAGAGTTTCAACTTCTCGTGCTGGGGCCTTGAAAGCGGCTTTCCTTTGTATAAGTTTCTGGTTCATTCCTTGCTTTCTTATCTGGGGTGTCACTTGTCGAATAGGAGTGGTGCATCCTGTTATCGTATACCGAGTCGAAAGGCAAACGCCTTAGTAATACATGGATACCATAGCCCAACCACGACACCTGATGCTCGTTACGATTTTGCGCAAATCGTTTGGCGTGTAGGACAATAATTGGCATGGAATGGAGTTTGCTGTTGGCCTATGCCGTATTGTCGTGGCAGTTGTTTCGCCCAAGACCGGTGATAGGACATTTTCGTATGTCCGCCTGCTGTAGTTTCAGCAAATGCCATAACATGGCCGCTTGTAAGGACCTGCATGGATTCACACATAATTAGCGAATCTTCTTAGCGTGCTTTCGGCTTCGGTATGAGCCGTGGTGCTGGACGATTTCGGCGATTGCTGTATGCATTTGGACAGCAACAGCAGACGACATTTAACAGCTTATCGGACATGCTTACAAGATACAGCTTGTTCCTTCATCGGCAGCCTTGCAGCGCGCCGACACCGGCGTTCAGCCGTGCGCTCTCTTGTCAGATAGTTCAACGTACATTTTGCTCAGCTTCACCATCCTCTTCCCCAGCACCCACGGCCTGGGGTCTCGAGCCGGCGGCTCCGAATGCGACGGGGCATACTCGAGATGGCCATTCAACCACGGCAGACGTTGACAGAAGTGGCACTAGCTCCTCAAATCCAGATACTTTGCCGAGAGACGATGGCTTGGAATCATTACAGTTAAATGGTGCGACGCCCACGCTTGACATATGGTACGATTTGCTGCGGCTCCTACACGAGCAAGGCGACTTCGAAGACCGAGAGACGCCTCGGTGCGTTTGGATATATGTGCACTGGATAACGCTGATTTATCGCGGAGTGTAGAACCGTTCCTTCCACGGTCCTGAGCACTCCATGCGCTTTGGGTACGAACCAAATCCTTAAAGTCCACTCCTACTCTCCCACATGCAATTGCTGCTGTCACTGCATTCAGCGCATCTCTTGCCCTCTCCTGTGCGGTTTGATCGGCCTAGTGCACCCCGCTCCCCGCTCCCCAGGCCAGCACAAACCCTTGCCCCCTTCCATCCCCCATCCAATCCGCAGGCCGCCTCTCCCTCCCGTTCCTCTCCTCCTCCTCCCACCTGGCTCACATACCTCTTCTATCCTTTCACATTGTTTTTTCCATTACCGTCTGGTTCGGGGTTCATTCGCTTGCCTTTACTTGAACCCCTCCTCCTTGAACATGTCCCGCGACCCGCCTTTCTCAACACGCACAAGCACATGCACATGATACGGCCACTGAGCTCTATGGAACCCTCCCTCCTCTCCCCTCCCCGACACCCCCCCCCCGCCCTTCCCCGACCCGACCACACGCCCCACCCGCACAGCGAACTGCTCATTCAGCAACTGGGCGACGTAAAGGATGCCGTCGTATGCTTCGCCCGCCGCCGCCCCGACATCCTCTTCAGCCTGCCCCCCCTGGAGGTGGCGGCGGTGGCGGAGGCGGAGCTGCTGTCTCGCGACCTTCCCGACCGGAAGCTGCGGAACGCCGACCGCCGGCTGAAGGACACGTTCGTCGCCTGCCGGTCCGCGACTGTTGCCGTGGGGGCCAGCGGCGGCGGCGGCGGCGGCGGCGGCGGCGGAGCAGGGGGAGCGAGAGGAGGTGCCGGGCAGTCTCACGCCACCACGCAGGACCTCATGCGGGTGCTGGGGGACTGGGCGGTAGCGCCCCAGTCCGCTGTGGATTCGGCGGCGCCCGGTGGGGAGACGGGGGGGAAAGGGGAGGGGAGTGTGAGGACTCGAACCCGGTCCCGGGCCCCAGACGGGTACACAAACTCTGACAGGACGGACACGGAACGGCCGACCTGTTGACCAGGGCACGTCTCCTAATCCGATGATACCCTCCCCACCCCACCCCCCCGCCACCAAGAGGCCCGGACCCTCGAGGGGGGCGGGGAACGAACCGCTGGAAGGGGGGGGGAGTTTTGAGGGATCAAGTGTGCGTGTATGTGTATGTGCGTGCAGATGTGCGTGTGCGTGAGCAGGTCCACACAGTGCCAGTGGTGCCTCCACTTCCACCGCGCGTTGTGCCCAACCCTTCCTCACATTCGAGCTCTCTCACCGGGTGGCCAAATCGCCGCAAGTAGGCCTCCCCCCCCCTTTCTCTCGCGCGCTCGCTCGCTCTCTTTCTCTCTCGCTCTCGCCCTTTCTGCCACCTTACAATACCACCACCGCCACCGCAGCAGTCGATTCTGTGTTTCGTGCCCCGCGTGGTCCCCACCCCAACCCCAACCCCGACCCCGCCCACAGCTCTGACGCCCGCGCTGCGGCACCTGCTGATGTGCGTCCGCCACCTGGC